TCTCCCCAGCGGGGGATCTCACTAGCCTCCGGGAACTGCTGACGCCAAGCGTCCGTCAGGCGGCCAAAGCAGCGCTGGGTGGGGTGGGCACCCCCACACTGCTCACCCGCGCGGTTGCTGGAGCAAAGGACGTAGGTGCACGGGCCAAAACCCCCACCACGCTGACGCTGCGTGTACCACTCACGAAGCTGCTGAGGAGGGGGGATGTCCCGAGAACGCTGCTGCTGCTGCTGCTGCTGGCGCTGACCACCCCCGGAGCCGCTCCGCTGCAAAGCACCACCCCGACCAGCTCCACCTCCTCCACCACCGCCGCCTCCACCTCCGCCACCACCGCCGCCTACGCTCCCACCGCTACCACCGCCGCTGCCTCTGCCTCCGCTGCTGCCACCGCCACGTCCACCCCCGCCACCACTCCCAGCGTCACCCCCACTCCCTCCGCCGCCTCCACCGCCACCTCCAGCACCCCTGCTAGCTCCACCCGCGCCCTTGCCCCCCTTGCCCTTGCCAGAGCGGCGTCTCCCGCTAGGGGCAGACGCCGCACCGACCGACTCAAGACCAACGAGGTCGGCCACAGCGGCAGAGGCGACAGAGGGCAACAGGGGGGAAGGGGAACACCCCTCAAAGATGGGGGTGCGAGGGTCACCACGAGAGGCTCCTAGAGCGACTATGCTCTTCTCTGCTGCTAGGAGGGCCTTCTCTAGGAGGTCAACAGTGAGAGTGGTGGGACAGACTGAGAGGAAGTGGTCCCTGACTACGCGAAGGGGGTCAAGGAGGCGGGTGACTATATAATAGAGAGTGATGTACATTGGGGGGGGGGTTCTTGGCGCAGAACTCAGCAGGAAGCGCGGCGCGGTAGCGAGTGTCACTAGTGCGGAGGTGCGTAATGAGGTCAGCGACTGTGGGAAAGGCAGCAAGGTCAGGAAAGAGGTACGGTAGCATGAGGCGGCTCAGTGCAGCAGTGGCAGGGGAAGAGTAGCGTGCAACTACAGTCGTACAAGGTCTGAGCACTCTTGTACTGACTAAAGTGCGCGCGCTCAGTGGTAGGCAGGTGGCGACGCACAGCAAGACGTGCAGCAGCATCGCGAGTGGCCCACTGGGAGCGAACAGTGGCGTCAGCATCGGCAGCAGGGGCAGGGGAAGCACCAGAGGTGAGGTCAAAGAGGGAGAGACCGTCTGCCCTATCGTACTGTAGGAAAAGCTGCAGGTCATCTACCCAAACCTCAAAGTCAATGGCTCGACCCTCAGCGTCAAAAGCGAGAACACTGGGGGTAGCCATGACAGCAGTAGACCAGCAGGACCAACTATAGGACAGGGGCAGTGCAGGGACAGAAGCGCTGCTCTCACCAGGCAGGGCGTGTCGGGCAGCTCAGCGGTACAGCAGCACGGCAACACGGCTGCTCGGACGGCACAGCAGCAACTGCAGCTCCGTGGCACCAGCGGCTCGGCTCCTTAGGCGGCTCGGGCAGCTCAGGCGGCTCGGGTGGCTCGGGCGGCTCGGGCGGCTCGGGCGGTTCGGGCGGCTCGGGCGGCGCGGGCGGTGTAGGGCGGCAGGGCCGCTGGTGCGAGGGGCGGCGGGGCCGCTGAGAAGGGCGGCGGGGCCGCTGAGTAGGGCGGCGTGGCCGCTGAGTAGGGCGGCGAGGCCGCAGTTGAAGGGCGGCGGGGCCGCTGAGTAGGGCGGCGGGGCCGCTGAGAAGGGCGGCGGGGCCGCTGCGGAAGGGCGGCGGGGCCTCAGTAGAAGGGCGGCGGGGCCGCAGTAGAAAGGCGGCGGGGCCGCTGATTAGGGCGGCGGGGCCGCTGAGTAGGGCGGCGGGGCTGCCGAGTAGGGCGGCGGGGCCGCTGAGTAGGGCGGCAGGGCCGCTGAGTAGAAGGGCGGCGGGGCCGCTGAGTAGGGCAGCGGGGCCGAAGCGACGGGTGGCGGGGCCGCAATGCGGGGCGACGGGGTCGCTGAGAAGGGCGGGGCCCGCTGAGAAGGGCGGCGGGGCCGTTGAGACGGGCGGCGGGGCCGCACTAAAGGGCGGCGGGGCCGAATCGACGGGCGGCGGGGCCGCTAGGGGAAGGGGCCGCTAGGGCGATAGGGCGATAGGGCCGCTAGGGCGATAGGGCCGCTAGGGCGTAGGGGCCGCTAGGGCGGCTCGGCGAGATGAGAGCCCGGAGCGCGACTCGGGTGGAGCGCGCTTCGGGCAGAAAAAAATAATTTGAAACTCGATGTGGTGGGCCCTAGGCACAGTTCCCAAGGGGGAACCTGGTCGATACCATGAGGAAAGTAGAACGAGAATGAATTGACTAAGGAATGGGAGTGATACAAATATGCAACCCTAGAAATGTGTACCCCATACGGACTACCCCACTATAGCCTACGCAATATTATAATTTGACACTTCATGCGTCTCAGATCATCGGGACGCAATTACTTGCGCCCTCCATTGTTGATGATAGTGTTTTTTTTTAAGTCTCGAGGGTGATTAAGGCAAGTGGAAGCGTAGCGCGGGCCAGACCATCGCCACTCAAGCAAAATAAGTCTGTACAGTAAGTGGTAACCGAGGGGTATTTTCCTCTCTTCAACCTCTCCCCCCTCTTTGTTGCACGTGACCCCTCTACCCCTTTCGTTTGTCCTTCCTCTTTGTTGTGTACGGTATGGCATCTCCTTTTTTTTTACTCTTGTGACTTGTTCTACTCATCTCTTTTGCACAATCTCTCTTGCGCTATTTTTTTCTCCCCTTCACCCCTTCCCTCCTCTTTCCTTATATTCCGCCTCCCTTGCATATCCTTCCACCCCCTCCTCCTCTTCCTCCTCCCTCCATTCTACCCCTTCCAATTATCGCTCGCCCTTTCTACTGTTCTTTCCTTCTAGGTTATTCTACTCTAGGGCCCATCAATAAGAGTGAGAGTAGTGTTAAACAAAGGTCATGTTAAGAGTTTACGGTACAATCAATATCCAGACTTGCATATTCACCAACAGGCCCTAAGATTGAACTTAACTTATATTGTCCAAAGATGTTGGGATACATCCAAGGTACGTACAATGTGTCCACGACCAACGCGCGGAGGCATGTCATGTGTGGTCCATGTCAATTACAGACAATGTGTCAATGCCCCGATAATAGCATGTCCCGATAATAGCTCTGTTGTTTACAGTAAACATTGTAAGTACACGACTTGCATATGTCAGTAGATCTGCACTGTGGATGCCCGATTGATCCTGGAGAGGGTTACAGGCGCGTTTGCCTGGGGGGTTATGGGCGCACTGACCCGCTACTGAAACAAGCCCTTCTATCCCAATGGTCTAGTGGTTGGGATTCTGACATGGTATCAGAGCGGTCTCGGGTTCGAATCCCGGTGTATGCACATGTAGGCCGGTGCCGCTGTGCTTAGTCCTAGGCCTCCCAGTGTGGGGGGGTGTCAGTAGATCTGCACTGTGGATGCCCGATTGATCCTGGAGAGGGTTACAGGCGCGTTTGCCTGGGGGGTTATGGGCGCACTGACCCGCTACTGAAACAAGCCCTTCTATCCCAATGGTCTAGTGGTTGGGATTCTGACAGCATACATATTAATTTTGTACTGCATTTTCATTGGTGCACGATTAGGCAAAAATATTGCCGCAATAAACAAACTTACAAAACATTACATGGCTTCACGTTTGGGGCTATTGCATAACATGCAATACATTGTAGGGAAAAAAAAAGATTGCATCCACTTTGGATGATAGATAAGAAAATAAGGACAGAAATCACACGTAGTCGCAAAGGCCTACGACAATGATTAGAAGCATGTGTCATATGCAGCATGTAGTTGAGATGCTCAAATGCCCTGCGCGATGGTACAGATGGAGGTGTTACTGGAGAGGAAAATGGTAGAAGATGAGAAAGAAATGTGCGTGTTGAGAATTTAGGTGCAAAGGCTGATTTTTTAAGGAAGCAAGGGCATAACAAAAAACAAGCAGCAACAGAGGGATGCGAGCAGTTGACCATAGCCTAAGTCTCGATGTCAATGACGACTGATGCACAGACTAGAGCGAAGCCATGGCATCCATGTGCTGCCCTGTAGGGAACTGGAGGGGGTGATTGACGAAAACCCATAGAGATAGAGGAACATAAGGTGTAAATAAGAAATGTTTAACATGGAAAAAAAGGACGAAGATCAAATGGGAAATGAAAAGGGGGGTTTTGCTTATAATTCGTTACTACGAGGGTTGAAAGTACTCGTAACAGCATCACGAGCGACGTGTCTACCGTCGGTCGGAGCGAAATGCGTCGTTGTTGTTGCGTCATGCGTAGCTGATGCGGAGTTTAGTACTCGTTGTTGCCGCATCGACTGTCGCTGTGGAGCAAATCCATTCGTGCGGAGCAAATGTACATGGGGAGGTAGGAGAACAAGGGGAGGGGGGCTTTAAGGAGGCGTCTAGTGAATACGAGCCATTATTGCAAAGGGAGGGACGATTGTGCCTACGATCCCATGAGAAACCTGGTCTCGATAAAAGTCGGTACTACACATGGGATGCATGGTGTGCAGGTTGAGTTGAGCGCGACAGTGAATCTATCGATGTAATACGTGTGACACACTTGGTGATAGTTTGGATCAGTCCAGGACAACACAAGCGGATTGCATGAAGGCAAATACATGCACGAAGTGGAGTGACGCATCACTATGTGGGAAGACCAAAGTCGGAAATCTTGCGAAATACTTTGCTCTGCAATATCATAAACATCAATGACATTTTGGGAATGGTGGAAAATACTGAAATATTGCAACAACCGATGTCGATTTCATTACAATATCGTAGTCGAATGACAATAGAGCAGGCCACGATATGAGCCATTGCGCAAACTAAGTGGGCAGGCGGCTTCGAGGATATTTCTTCGTCTGCGATCGGCATTGGCATCGAATAAGTAAATGCCCTAAGGAAAACAAGCATTAGGTAGACGTGAAGTGGAATAGTATGAGAAGTAGGAAAACGCTAGATGTCAGTAGGAAGACTTGACGCGCCCAACCCAACCAACCCTTTAGTAGGGTTTATGATGATTCGTGCAGGTATAGCTTATGGAGAAGAAGAAAAAGAAGAAGAAGAAGAAGAAGAAGAAGAAGAAGAAGAAGAAGAAGAAGAAGAAGAAGAAGAAGAAGAAGAAGAAGAAGAAGAAGAAGAAGAAGAAGAAGAAGAAGAACAACAACAACAACAACAACAACAACAACAACAACAACAACAACAACAACAACAACTGTGAAGAATGAGGAATGAATGAACTAGCAAGCAAGTGGGTACAAGTAGGAAAACCTAGAAGTGTTGTACCCATATAGTCTACCCCACTACGGCCTACACAGACTATAGTATAAGAGTTTGACACACCCCATAGGCAAAGTGGGGGAGAACAAGAGGTCACAAGACCAGTCAAGCAAAGCAAAGAAAGCTCAGGGTGGATTACAACGTCACCACACAGTCCGAGCACAAGAGCAAGGACAAAAGGCCAGTTCACATGCAAGATCATATACATATATAGGTAAACAAGCAAGTGCAGGTATAGAAAGATCACAGTACAAGCAAGGTCAAGAAGTGAGCAAGTGAGGCCAAGTAGGCACAAGACCTAGCAACATACAAAAGCGCTGATGATCACAAGGCGGAAGTGCCTTGGTAAAGATATCAGCAGTGTTGGCCTCATAGGCCACGTAAGCAAGGCGTAGCTGACCACGCTGCTGCAGCTCACAAGCAAGGAAGTAGCGAAGAGCAATGTGCTTCGTTCTGTGCTCTAGTCTGTGCTCCCAACACAAGGCCGGCATGGCCTTGTTGTCTACGTACAGAACTGGAGGAGAACGAGGCGCCTCTCCTAGGTCACTCAGCAGGTAGGTGAGCCAGCGTAGCTCCTGTGCAGCCATGGCCCCCGCGTAGATCTCAGCCTCACAACTGGAGGTGAGAACAGAAGACGAGCGGGTAGACCGCCACGGAACAGAGCCGGAGCTAAGGCTGAAGGTGTAACCCTGTGACGACCGCTGCGTAGCCTGGTCGTCAGCCCAAGAAGCGTCTGCGTGACCTGTGAGGACCACTAGACGTCGCCCTCCAAGCACTAGCCCCATGCCCGACGTACTGCACAAGTAGCGCAACACCCTCTTCGCTGCAGCCATGTGCTCTGGTCGGTGTCTCCCAGGAGCAACATAGCATGCCAAGATGCTAAGAGGGTATGCAAGGTCAGGTCGTGTGCAGGTCATCACGTACATGAGGCAGCCAACAAGCTCTGGGTACGGGCCACTCGGCTCTACGGACTCATCCGAAGGCAGAGCAGAGAGTGAGTGGCGAGTAGACAGAGGAGTGGCCTGAGGCGAGGAGTACGTGAAGTCGAAGCGCTGAAGGACCTGCTGCACCATGTGTGACTGAGTCACGGTAATGGTGCGGCGTGCTCTGTCCCGGGTGATCTGCAAGCCAAGGTAGCTGCGCAGTTCACCCAGGTCTGTGCACGTGTGTCTCTTCTGCAGCTCGGACTTCACGTGGGCTAGTCCAGCAGTGTCAGCAGTGGTAAAGACCAAGTCGTCGACGTACACGAGGATGTAGAACGGCCGCAAAGAGGTGTCGGTGCGCAGAAACAGCAACGGGTCGGCAGTAGAAGGAGCAAACCCAAGAGCCGCAAGTGTAATCCTCAGTGTGTCGTGCCACTCACAGGGCGCCTGGCGGAGAACGTAGACTGGCCGCCGGAGGCTCCACTGGGTACAAGGGGGAAACGACCCAGTGAAGCCATGTGGGCGGCGCAGCCAGATCTCCTCGTGCAGGCTGCTCTGCAGGAAAGCTGTGCTGAAGTCAAGAGAGTGAAGCTCGTAGTCGCGCTGAGCGGCTATGTGCAACAGCACCCGAAGAGTGGTCATCTTCGAGGTGGGAGAGAAGGTCTGAAATTAGTCAACTCCTTGCCGCTGACTGAAGCCTTGAGCAACGTAACGCGCCTTGAAGACAGGCGGAGAACCCGGCGACCGCTTCACCCTGAAAATCCACATGCCACTGACGATGTTCGCCCTAGGTGGGGGGACCTCGTCAACGTAGGTGCCTGTGGACTTCCAGGAAGACATCTCTGCGTCCATGGTTGACTACCACAGAGAGGAGTAGGGACCCTTGATCACCTCAGCGTACGATCGAGGAGTCGGGATGTCTGGTGCATTGGGGTTTTTCTCAGGGGCAATCAACGTGGACACGAGATGAGGCAAAGCAGCAGCAGAAGACTGGAACTCCTCCTGCCTGTCCTCAAGGACGTCCATGCTAAGAGCACACTCACCCCCGACGGACGGAGGACAGACAGACTCAGACTCAGCAACAAGACTAGCGGCGTAGTCGAGACGACAGCGGGCAGCAAAGTCGACAAGCTGAGCCACCAAGGCAGACGCAGCACTGGACTCAAAGGAAGGGTCAGTGACAGCAGTTGCCAGGAGACGCGTGACAGTAGGACTGGCAGCACGAAGAGAGTCTGACTCCGGGTCAGCAAGAACAGGAAGAGAGGACTCTGGAGGAGACGGCAACGGGACACGCAGAGGAGCAGTGGAAGGACGCAGTGCCATCCGGTGTGTGCCTGGGATAGTAGGAGGACGCGGACGCGGAACACGACGACTGGTGCGAGCAGCACGAACAGGCGACGCACGACGAGACGCAGGCTCACGTCGCTCAGCAAGACCTACAGTGGGACCAGTGTAGGGAGAAGGAGCAGGAAGAGGGGAGGTGGGCTGTAACTGTGACTGCGACTGGACAAGCTGTGGACACTCTAAGGTAGGAGCAGGACCAGCAGAGGGCGGGAGACCATGAACCTGTTCAAGGAGCGGAACGAAGTGCGGCCGTGGCCGCGCAGCGCCTCCAGAATCAGCAGGGACAGAACGAGTACCCTCAGCGGCAGCACCAGCGCCAACAGCACCTCTAGCTCCAACAACGCCAGCTCCAGCACCCTCACACGCACCAGCGCCAGCAGAACCACCAGTGCCAACACCCCCAGCAGCTCCAGCTCTAGTAGCACCAGTAGCTCCAGTAGGACCGGCAGCTCCAGTACCGTCAGCAGCTCTAGCAGTACCTCTAGCAGGACTAATTCCAGCAGCCTCAGCAGCACCCCCAGCCCCAGCAGCTCCAGCACCGCCAGTACGAGCACCTATGGGACCAGCAGCAACAGTAGTACCTCCAGCTCCAGCAGCACAGCTCCAGCGCCGTGCAAACCACTCGCGCAGCTCCTGTCGAGAGAGCGGCTCCCGCGTCCACGAAGCACCGTCAGCGGCCACACGAGCAGACCCAAGAACCCCAGGCTCCGCACCCCCAGGCTCCACACCCCCAGGCTCCGCACCCCCAGACTCAGCACCCCCAGGCTCAGCACCACCAGACGCAGCACCCCAAGTCGCAAGAACCCCATACTCAGCACCCGCAAGCTCAGCACCTCCTACAGCACCAGAGTCAACAGCTACCTCGACAGGCTCGATTGCGTCTACCTGGGACACACCTGACGGGGCAGGACCCTGAGGGGGGAGGGGGTCTACCGGGGGAGGACCTGGCGCAAGGAAGAGTGGCGGTGGGGGGAGGGGCGCAGTGCGTTAAGGGAAGAGACGGTAGTAAGGTACCGACTCGTCAAAGGTGACGTCCTGCGAGAACAGAACACAGCGCAAGGTGGGGTGGTAAAACTGCCAACCAGGCGCGTCAGGGGGGAAGCCAAGGAAGATGCAGGGAACAACACGGGGGGACAGCTTGTCCGCAAACAAATCGCGGACAAACGCCCGAGATCCCTAGACCCGAAACGCAGACGCATCGCCAACCTTCCCCGTCCACCGCAGGGTGGGGGAGGTCTCTGGTAAGGAGACCCGGGGCTGAAGGTTCAGCTGATGTGCGGCGTACTGAACCGCAAACGGCCACAAAAAATGGGGGGCAGTCGCATGGATCATGGACGTACGAGCGACGTCCATGACCATGCCAATGCGGCGCTCACCAATCCCATTTTGCTGTGGAGAGGCCGGAAGCGTGAAGGTCTGGCGGATGCCCTGTGCACGTCAGAAGGCTCCCAGACGGGCAGAGGAAAACTCCCCGCCTCTGTCAGAGTGCAGACGCAGAACAGGAAAGTCCGAGCCGAAACTCTCTTTGAGGTGGAGACGAGCTGCGCGGATCCATTCGATCAACACCTCAATGACGTCACACTTGCTGCGCAAGGGGAAGAGTGTGGTGTAACACGAGTAGTCGTCAACCACCAACAGGAAGTAACGCTCGTGCCCCTGTCCACGGACGCGGGCGGGGCCCCATACGTCCATGTGGAGAGTCTGCAGCGGAGCCTCTGTCGGAGGAAACACGGAGAAGTGAGGGGCGTCGCGCTGTCGCCCTTCGACGCAGGGGACGCAGGTAGGGGCAGGCCCCGGAGGTAGGGGAGGGAGAGACCGGGGGAGACCAGAGACAAAGACACGGGAGGCCATGCCTCGGAGACGAGGCAGGGAGGGGTGACCAAGACGGTGGTGCCAACGGAGAGTCTGGTGGGACAGGAGACGACACGAGCAGGGAGCAGACTCAGGACCAGACCTGGACGCTGCAGCAAACACCTGACTCGAGGCAGCTACCTGGCCACACTCAGCAGCCGGAGGAGACTCAGTAGTAAATGTGTACAGGCTCTACCCTGGCCGACGGGTGAACGTGGCCAAGTGTCGGCCTGTCCGAGCGCACGTGCAGTGTGTCACCCGCTGACTCGCAGGAGTGAACTTGTCGACCCCCCTATCCTGTAGGTCAGCTCCACTCACCAAGTTCGTAGAGAACGAGGGGAGGTAGAGACCTGACAGGCTGCCAGAGGGGGCTGCCGGCCACGGTAAGACAGTGGAGAAGCTAGCAAGGACAGGACCCCCAGAGGGGTCCGCCAGGGAGACTGCAACCGGCCGACTAAGCGGCGTAAGCGTGGTGCGGTCTCGAAAGAAGGAGCGGGAAGCACCCGAGTCAAGGGTGAAGGTGTGTAGGGCCTGAGCCGACGAAGTACGTGAGAGAGCGGACTCACCAGCACCTGGGGCAGCAGACACACTAGCACCTGGGGCAGCAGACGCACTAGCACCTGGAGCAGCAGCCTCAGAAGCAGCTACAGCAGCAGCCTCAATGCCCAGGTCAGGCGGAACACAGAGGTAGCAGTCACCCTCAACACTAACAGTAACAGTATACATGGCAGCAAGAATAGCATCATAGTCAAGATCAAAGATGGCAACCCCCGCCCTAGACAGATCTCCCCAGCGAGGGATCTCTGACGCCTCTGGGAACCGGTGACGCCACGCGTCCGTCAGGCGGCCGAAGCAGCGCTGGGTGGAGTGCGGGCCCCCGCACTGCAAGGCGGCTCGGCGGGGGCGGTGGTGGGCGGCTCGGCGGCTCTGCTGCTCGGCGGCTCGGCGGC